TATATATATATATATATATATATATATATATATATATATATAATCAAAGTGTTCATATTTTAGTATATTTCGAAATATATATATTACGCCAATTTTATTTTATGAGAATGAAGTATCAAAATCAATGAGTTTAACTGCCAGTGGTGGAGCTAGGGAAAATTATTTGGAGGGGCCAAAATAACTTAAAATAAAATGTATAAGTGATATGTAATAGTTTGATAATATAATTTGATAGAATTTTTTAAAATATTTAATAATTATTTTTATGATGTTAAAATATTTTTTCTATTTTATTAATAACATTCATTAACCCTTTTTTTTATGACTTTTATATTTCCTTCAATTTTTGAATATGAAAAATTAGAAATTTTTTTTTAAAAATTACAAGATTTTTTTTTATACAAAACGTAATGTGCGAGAATACATAAAAAAATGTATTTAATAAATTTAAAAGCAATAACCATATTTTTGTCATAATTATAATAAAATTTGAAGAAATTTTTGAGAAAAAAAACAAAATTCATAAAAAAAAAAATATGTATAAAAGACCTCACATGAAATATTGTATGCAAGAAAAATCCATAGATTCAAGGCATACTATATAAACTTATAATGAAATAGTTAATGTATAAAATTATTATTAAATCAATTACAATGGTTGGTGTCATTAAAATAAAAAAACTTAAAAGTGCATTGTTGATATAAAAGTTTCTATTAAAAAAAATAATAACATAGAGAATGACTAAATATTACTTCCTTTATATTCTTTAAATGTCTAAATATTTTTTAATTAAATTTTTTCATGCTCTAACTTAAAATTATTAATAATTGAGAAATAAATAACTTTGTTTTGTAATTTTTTTTACCATGACTTAATATTATTAATAATTGAAAGTAGATAACTTTAAAATATTTGAATATTTTTGCTAAGTTTTGTTAGTATATAAAATAAAAATATTTTTTAATAATCAATATGTATAAAACAAACAAAAAAATCCCTAGAAATTTTGGAGTGGTCATGGCCCCCTCTCATAGATACACTACGCTCCGGATAACTGCACATCTTTATCGATCCATTGTGAAGCCATGGCCAAAAAGATATCGACATATCGTATCATATATAATCAGATACAAATATGGTACCACACACAATATTAATTATCTTATTATAAAACATTAAAATAATATATATTCTAATTTCTATTCCTAGATATGTGCAGGCATCATACAGTAATAATAATTATTTTTCTTGAATTAAGATACGATTTCACCTAAATTATATGTTCAATCATGCATGATTTTTGAATACATTCAAAGCAGAATGTAATTATATATTATTTAATTTTTAAAATTTTAATGACAAGGGATAACCTATTATTAGTAACTATTCCAACCACATGCAGGTGGTGCTGAAGAATACTACAAGGTTGTGTTCAAGCAAAGCTATTGTCACCGTTAATGGAAAGTTTCCAGGACCCACTCTTTACGCTAGGGAAGATGATACAGTGTTGGTCAAAGTCAGAAACCTTGTCAACCACAACGTCACCATCCACTGGTGAGACTTCGTTTTTTTATTTGCTTCAACTTGCATGCACGAAGTGTCATGGAGAAAAATTAGGTTTAATATTTCCTGATGGTATTTTTTCAAAATATTTTAAAAATATAAATATTTAATACGTTTTTAGTTTCTATATTTATTCAAAAACATATATTATTATTTCTTAATAAAAAAAATCAAAATCACGTCACTTTAGGGACTAAAAACGTATTAAATTCTTATAAAGACTAAACTTAACATTCTTAAATTTTTTGATTTCTGAGGGGTCAAAAATATTTAACCTTTTCTCTATATTGTTTCTATAAAAAAAAATTTACTTTGTTAATTAACCAAAATTCTTCATTAATAATAATTTTAAAATATTTATTATAAAAATCAACAAATAATATGTGATCAAGTGTTAATGTAAGGTGTCACACATATACTATTTACTTAAAAATAAAGCACAAAAGGAATGAACCTTATTGTTAATACAAAAAATGATTTTATCTAAGCAAAATAATATTGAATGCTAATTGGAAGACTATAAGCATCTTGGCAGGCATGGAATAAGGCAACTAAGAACTGGTTGGGCTGATGGGCCTGCATACATCACACAGTGCCCAATTTTGCCAGGACAATCATATTTGTACAACTTCACCATTACAGGACAAAGAGGAACACTTCTTTGGCATGCTCATGTGAATTGGCTAAGGTCAACTCTCCATGGTGCCATAGTTATCTTGCCAAAGCGTGGTGTGCCATACCCTTTCCCAAAACCAGATAAAGAATTGGTTGTAATATTAGGTGAATTCAAATGATTAATTAATATATACCCTTCACTCATTCATATTTTCCTATTCACTATTGTTGATTATTAGTCCTCAACATAACAAGGTTTCAAGTTAAATTTCATTATGGTGATAAATTGCAGGAGAATGGTGGAAATCTGATACTGAAGATGTTATCAATGAAGCTCTCAAGTCAGGACTGGCACCAAATGTCTCAGATGCTCATACCATCAATGGCCTTCCAGGGATTGTGTCTGTGGCTAATTGTTCTACACAGGGTAGGTTCTGCCACACTTTTCATTTCTTTGCTTTCTTACATGTATTATATACTATGAAGCAGTTTCGACACAACCGAATACGACATGGACACGGGACTCGACTACTATAAAAAATGTAGGATACAATTTTTATATCATAGATGAAGAATTATATTTCTTAAAAATTAAAACAATTAGTAATTCTAATACACCTCCTCATGCCCATGATGCATGTATCAATGGTGGGTGACTTATTTAGAGTGAATTGTTGATAAATAGTAGGTAGTCCTTTTGAATGATCTAGGATAGGCAGCTCATTTTAAGAATCTAGGATAGTTCTGATACTATCTTAGAATAGTGGATTTAAGTCTAATTTAACCCTACAAAATCAACTTATAAGGTGAGGGTTACCTTCCACTTATATATTATTTAATTGCCTAATCTCTAGTCAATGTGTGACTTGGGTTTTTCTCAATACACCCCCTCACGTCCAGTACTATTGGGTTTGATACGTAAATAAATGATGGGTGACACTTTTTAATGATCTAGGATTAGCGGGACCTGAATTTTTCTCGATACACCCCTCATGCCCATGGTGCATGTATCAATGGTAGGTAGCTCATTTAGAGTGTATCTAGATGACTCTGGTACCATCTTAGAATAATAGATTAATCTAACTCAACCTTACAAAAATAACTTGTAAGGTAAGGATTGCTCTCCACTTATATATTTTTTAATTGTCTTATCTCTAGTTGACGTGGACTTGGATTTTTTTCAATATTTATGTCTAAATTTTTTTATGAAATTTGTAATATTTATAAATAAGTTAATTTTTAAAAAATATTTATAATAAAAATATTAGATAAGTGTTTAGTTAAGAATATGTGTCACTTCACTTTTTTAACTCTTTAAGTTCAAATCGTATTAAAAAAATGTCTAAATTGTATAAAAAATGTATCTAAATAAAAAATAATAATTCTTAATTGTGACATGATAAAGAGACGTCGAACACATTCAAGACATGTTCGATAAGTGTCATGTCTAAAACGTGTCAGACACACTAACACTATTCTAGAAATAAGTTTGTGTTTTGTAGATTATATATGTTTTTTTAATTTTTCAATAAGTGCTGACTATACTTATGCTTGATTTCCCTTCTTGGTTGGATACAACTAGATGTGTACAAACTTCCTGTGGAAAGTGGCAAGACCTACCTACTGAGAATTATCAATGCTGCACTCAATGAAGAACTTTTTTTCAAAATTGCTGGTCATTCACTCACTGTGATTGAAGTTGATGCCTCATATGTAAAGCCCTTCAAAACCGACACTCTTCTAATAGCCCCTGGCCAAACCACCAATGCCCTTTTAACTGCTGACCAAAATTCTGGCAAATACATCATAGTAGCCTCTACTTTCATGGATGCTTCTGTGGTAGCAATAGATAACTTGACTGCTACAGCCACACTGCACTACACAGGCACTCTTGCAAGCACCCCTACAATTCTCACCACCCCTCCTCCAAGAAATGCTACACAAGTTGCTACCAACTTCACCAAGTCTCTTAAAAGCCTTAATTCTAAGAAATACCCAGCAAATGTGCCACTAACAGTTGATCATTCACTTTTGTTCACTGTTGGATTGGGGATCAACCCATGTCCTTCTTGCACTGCTGGCAATGGGAGTAGAGCAGTGGCTGCTGTCAACAATGTGACATTTGTGATGCCAACCACTGCATTGCTTCAGGCACATTACTTCAACATCAAGGGGGTGTTCACCACTGATTTCCCCGGCAACCCTGCTCATGTTTACAACTACACGGCGACTCCGGCAACGGCGAGTTCGCAGACGAAAAATGGCACCAAGGTTTACAGGCTGAAATTCAACTCCACAGTTCAAGTTGTTTTGCAGGATACTGGGGTCATTGCTCCTGAGAGCCACCCAGTTCATCTTCATGGGTTCAATTTCTTTGCTGTTGGCTCTGGTGTAGGAAACTATGACCCCAAAACGGGTCCAAATAACTTTAACCTTGTGGATCCTGTTGAGAGGAACACAATTGGAGTGCCAACTGGAGGATGGGTTGCTATTAGATTCAGAGCAGATAACCCAGGTAAAGATTCTTGAATCTCATTCATACTCAAAATCTAAAGGTGGATTCAGGAAAAAGTTATGAATCTCAAACTTATTAGCATGAGGGTATGATGTCATAAACTTTTCTAAAATACTTCTAAGAGAAAAAATTAAAAAGAAAAATCTAAATAAACTTTTTTAATGAGGTAAAACTAACTTATGTATTAAGAGTTTGTTTGGATATAAATTTATAAGTGTTTTTTTTATTGTTTTTGTATCGAAAATATTAGTCCATTAGTCTCTTATCTAGTGATTGAGTTAGACTTTGTGCATAACAGTTATTGCATTAATTGAGAGTTATGTTATGAAAATGGTTATCTATAGGTTAATTATAATAGGGTCATAATGGTCATTCTTGAAAGTTCAATATCTCTTCATGTTAATTTTTTCTACTTGCACATATTTGACAGGTGTGTGGTTCTTGCACTGTCATTTCGAGGTGCATACAACATGGGGGCTAAAGATGGCATTCTTGGTGGACAATGGTGAAGGTCCTAATGAATCATTGATACCCCCACCAAAAGATCTTCCAAAATGTTGAGACTTTCAGCCAATAATTGAATAACACAAATAAAAGGAAAGGCCTTTCCTTTGCAAAATGAAGCTTCGGAAGGATACAGAGAAGCCAGGCAAAAGAAAGCGAGGGTCGTTATTTAATAATAAGCGGGTTGTCCAAATTGTTTTATTTTTTTGAGTTAATAGCAGGATTTCTTCTCGCACGTTCTGTAGATTGGAGCTATCATTTTGATTTTCTTTGCACATTCATTTATTGTCTTTAGTTTTTGTTATAGCTATACTGATCATATGTATTGAAAACAATGAGTGCAGGTAATTTAATTGAAATAAAAATGGTACTTGCTTCATTCAATACATGTTCATTGGGTGACGAGTATTTCATAATTCTTTGCATTAAGAAGACATGTTCATATGTATCACAACTCAAAATAATAGATCCTTGCAGACTTGCAGAGAAGATACAAATGTCATGCACTAACTATATTAATTTTTGTTAGTGTAATATTATGATAGCTTAGTCACGCACATGTGAATTATTTGAAATATATATGGGTTTAGGCCTTATATACATATAGGTTTAATATGTGTGCTCAGTGTAATATTAGTCAAATGTCATCATATAGGTCTAATACATCATATTTTTCAATTAGATTATTTAAATTAAAAAAATGTAATTAGGTCTTTTAAATTTTTTTTCTTCTTCTGTAATTTAGTTCTATAATTACAAATTTATTTACAATCCATAAAATTTTATAAAATATTTTTAATACATGCATACTTGGACAACTAAGTTAGATTATTATTTCATGTTAGTATTGAACCATATTTGTGAAATTCCATAAATTTTAAACAAATTTTTAATTCCAGAAACTAAATTACCGAAATTAAAAAATATGAATGACTTAATTACAAATTTATTTAATTTAAAGACCTAATTTAATATTTCTGAAAAAATTAAGAACAAATAATGTATGAAACCTTAAACTTTTTAGTAAATTTCAATAAAATTAAACTCACATGTATAAAAATAAGAAAAACAATATATGTGCAATAAATTATGGATTCGACTCTCCTAAAATGAATAAAAGTTGATAATGTGAAATAATATATATATATATATAGGTTTTAATTGGGTAACTTTAGTCCCTAAAGAATTACAATTATGCAATTTTGGTCCATTAATTTTTAATTAAACAATTTTAGTTCCTCAAATATCATAATTGTGCAATTTTAGTCCCTCAAATATCATAATTGTACAATTTTAGTCTCTCCTATTACAAATTTAATAATTTTAATATATATATATATATATGTACAATATTTTAAAACAAATACAATTATTTATCTATTCAAGTTAACATATATTATAATTTTCGTTAATGTATTAAATGATATATATTTATTATTATTAAATAAATAAATTTTATATATTATTATTTTTATAATATTACTGATAAATTAATATCAATAATATTATTAGTT